TGTGTGTGTGTGTGTGTGTTTGGACGGCGTATTTGGGTATCTCTGTTTTGCATTAGGAGTAGTGGGGGGCGTGGGGAGAGCCTGAAACATCTGCCATGTTTTTGTGTTAGTTTAACTGTTGCTACTGTATCAGACTGTGGTCACCAGGGCGGCAGGTAGCGGACTCGTTCACTTAGAGCCTGTGTGTTGCTCAACCTAATTTAGTCCAGATGAGGTGGAAATGGGCCCAATCCTGACTCATTTAATTTATCTGAGACCTGCCCTGAATTTCACTGAAACTCAAATCGTTACATGTCAGAGTGCGACGCCGTTGCTTATTTTTTAACTGATTTATAGAATTTTTTATTTCTCCTCTAGTTTCCTCTTATTTTATGATGTTACTGTTTGCTTTGATAATGTTTAATTTCATTCAGGCTGAATAAAAGCATACGGTTCAGCTCTGTAAAAATAGCCGCAGAACACACACATGATCGGATGATTTGTCTCCATTTGAGATATATCTCCAAATACTGTAATATGAGACTTGAAGTAAAAATATCTCTTCCTTTTGTTTTTAGCCTCTGAGCCCAACCTGAAGGTACGATCCAGACTGAAGCAGAAAGTTGCAGAGAGGAGGAGCAGTCCGATGCTTAAGAGAAGAGAAGGAAACATCATGACTCCATATAAGAAGAGGGCCTTAGAGCTAATGGGTGCGTATACAAAAATTATATTCTTTCTGAGAAGTACTTTCCATGCGTCAAACTGCGTGAAATTGTCTCAATCACATTATCTGGTGTTTAAAATGCTCTTTGTAAACAATACAAGCCTTCATCTTAGTGTCATTATTGCAGAACTGGACACTTAACTTCAGCGTTAAGACAGACCTTTGTAATCAGGCAGCCATGACAGTACACATTAAACTGTTGTGAGGCTGCAGCTGTTATGCCAAACCTCTGTGTGTGTGTGTGTTGTGTATAGAGCGAGAGCATGCACACCATGTCTAAACTCCTTGATGTTTCCTAGACTCTACACCCACTAACAGTGCCCCTGGCTCCGGCCCCAGCTCTCCCATAGGGGCCTCCAGTGCCTTGGGGGCTGAAAATGGACCCTCTTCTCTGCCTACTACCACAAAAACTGAGGTACGTTTGTAAATCACCAGCAAAAATAAAACAAAAAAGCTTAACTTCTGCCGTTCTGCACGGGCATCGTGTAATATCAAAGCTGTAATTTTAAGTCAGGGCAGTAAATGCCTGTCTGTCCTTCTGCTCGCAGCTATAAAAACAGCCTCTGTGTGTTACACTCCAATGAAAATGGCTCCCCACACTGACATTAAAGAGGCACAGCTTGACCCGCATGTCTGATCACTTGCGTAAAGATGACACATTATGTAGCAAAATAAATGGACTCTATCAATGTTAGGGTTCTGAACACAGATGGGGGAGAAAAAAGCAACAATAAAAAATATAATGCTGCACATTTTTTATCCAGTAGTTTTTCTTTTTCCAGATGTACAGTACAATCAGTTTTATGTTTTGCAAAAAAAAAAAAAAGAAAACATCTTTAGTTTGGCTATAAGGTTGCTGTTGGCTTATAGTGGTGTTCCTGTCATTGGCCTGGCTGCATGCCTGTACTGAGTGGTTCTGAGGCGTTTCCCAATAGATTCATGGCTGAGTTACAGACTCGAGCTCCCTTTGGACCGAGCTCACAAAGCCGAGCATTATAGAGGGTGGCAGATATGACACATCTCAGAACAATATTAACAGAGCAGCTGTGTTTTCCTTAGCCATCGCTGTTTACTCTCCCAGGGACCTCCGGCGACACAGAGAAGGGTGAGACGCCCTGACACCGGGCTGAGGGTTGAGGCTCAGGGAGACAGAGGAACTGTGGAGTCTAATTGATATCCCAGGCCCTGGTAGCCAAAGACACCCACATGCTAACAACATAAACAGACAGGATTGCTATTGTATCGGGCCAAGCCGAGGCTCTCATGAAAGTCATTGGTGGACCGCAGGGCTGCCTGTAGACCTCATGCCTGTTGCAAAAGCAAGGCGTGTTTATGCACCGTTACATTAGGTATCCTTTTTCAGAGGGAACGGGTCCCTCGGGTCAAATATGGGCCGGATATCCACATGCAGGTCACTGAGTACTGGTAGGGGTTGGAAGGATAAACATGGCTGTTCCAAAACCACATGCTGGTCCACTGCTCTGCTGGGTACAGGAAGTATGCCCCAGTGCTGATGTTCTCTGAGAGAGTAGCCTAAGGGCGGAGACCGCAGAGTCAGAAAAGGCAGCAGGCCGATCAGGGCCTGAAGAACTGAGGGGTGGAGTGGTAGATTCAGACGTTTGGATTGTTTTATAATGGTGTATCATCCTCAGCGGTGCCATTATGTGAAGCTCCAGGAATCCTCTGCTACCTGCCACTCCTTCCTATCATCCATCATAAAAACTAAAATCTTTCCGTTTGGCAGTGAGGAGGGCTGTTGCTCGTCATAGTGCGTTAATGTTTACGCCACTGCTCATGTTGCCTTTTCGAATTTCTCCATTGTGGGATTTCTAAATCTATCACCTCCTCCCAAATCTCTCTCTCTCTTCTGCTCTGTCCTGTGTGTTTGATCCAGAGATGGCCTTCACAGCCGAGATTATTCCGACCGGAGGGCTCTGTGTCCATGCTGAGCTTATACACATCTCCCTCTTTACCCAACATTTCCCTGGGGCTTTCGACTGCGTCCTCACCCATTAGCGTGAGTACAAATTTTGCAGACATTCTCTGATAACCCATATGTTTACTTGAAATTTCCTTTAATACACCGGATACGTTTTTCAATGATGCAAAGCATTTCAGCTCAGTTTGAAACCATCAGTGGATGTCTGGGGGCTCTCTACGCCCGCAGGTCTCTGACCTGTGGCCCCGAATGATTTTATCAACCTTAGATAAATATTGCTCTGCAGTGTCTTGTGTCCAGCATGTTCTTATCTTCCCTTATTACCTCATTCATCACAGTTTTAAAAAGTCCAAAGCCACTGAAGTGCAGCTCCTGATAACACAACAGATGATTTATCATCGTTTTAGTTCTCTGGCACATTCCACAGAGGCCTGTTCATCAGCTGCACCAACTTTCACCATTGATGGACTTCAGCATGAACTCATTCACAAGAAACAGCTGATATATTTGAACTTGGCTTGTTGAAATGAACAGATATAATTCTTACAAACTATTATTAACTAGAATGGCACTCAGTAGACTTTATACCTCCGCCAAGGCCCAACAGTTCCGTAATGAAACCACATTTTAATTCACAAGGTCTGGATCTGCACCACATTGCACACACTCATAAATATCAGTCCCCCTAAACATGCTAAACATTTATTTTTTTCATTGTGAACCATGAAGTTTTATCTGATAAATCAACAAAAATGATGACAGATGATGACCTGATCTTGCAATGTTAAAGAAAGTTTAAAAATCGGATCTGGATCCATGTTCTTCTCTGATCTACATCCAAACTTTTTGTGTAATCCTGCTAAAATCCAACTAACTAACAGACTAATAAACAGACTAAAACCTCCTTTGTGGAGGTAATAAACAGTCCTAATGCACAGAATGTGTAAAGTCAATTAACAATTAACTTTCTCCTCTCTCAGGCTGCCATGGGGTTGAAAGACAGATCAACAGAAATCAGACATGGGCTGCCTGGGAATCTCCTGGGCCCCGTGCCTCTTCAGACAGGCCTGGAGTCTAAGGTGAGCCCCAGTCACCAGGCTCTCCTCCAACACCTCCTCCAGAAGGAGCAGATGAGGCAGCAGAAGATCCTCTCCTCTGGTAAGTCTTCCTTCCTTGTCTTTAAACATCACACTACAATGTGTTCTTGTTATTTTTGGTAAAACTTAATTAAATATATATATTTTTCTTCTGTCAAGGCCCTGGCTCCATGTCGTCCCACCCTCAGTCCCCTCTGGCCATGAAGGATCGCCCCTCCAGCAGTCGTCCTAAGCTACCAAAACACCGGCCCTTGAACCGAACCCAGTCGGCTCCACTGCCCCAAAACACACTGGCCCAACTTGTCATCCAGCAGCAACACCAGCACTTCCTGGAGAAGCAGAAACAGTACCAGCAGCAGATCCACATAAATAAGGTATTGTGCTGTTCATCGATATTCAAATCACAGGGGAGGATTTTGACTTTCAGATTGCTTCTTGCAGCATTTTTGTATTCCATTTCAGGTCTCCTGAGAGCTCATTTTACTGCAGGGAGTCTGATTTAATCATTTTCAGCACACAAATGCAGATCTATTTTTAGCCTTTTGTAAAAGCATCTGTGGTAGCTCAGGTTTACAGACCCGGGCCCGAGTCTGTTCTTCCCTGGAATCCTGGTGTTTTTCTGCTAAGCAAAGAACTTCTGCCTGACTTCAAATGGGGAAGAAATGCTTCCCCTGCACTAATTCTGTTATCATAGCTTAAGGCATCAGTGCTGTTCACATGCTAACTCTGTGAAATTCAATTCAAGCTAAGTTCAAATGAAGGAAAAGTGCCCAGAATACATTTTGTTCCTCTGTGGCAATATTTGTGTTTCTGTACGCCAGCCGAGGTGACCTCGCTTTACACAGAGTGTAATTATTCTGGTGAGGGACGTGTGTGAGGTGGCAGACACTGTGAAAGGCAGCATTGTGTGAGCTCACATACTGATGTGTCCCAACGCTGGGTCCTGAACGAGCCATGGGAACCATACAGCATTTCTTACCTGGAAGTAATCGAAAGCACAAAGCAGCAAAAGCACACACCAGATCATACAGCACAGACAGGACTGCTTGAATTCCTGTGTGACACTGAAGGTGACCAACACGCTTCCCTGCGTCAAACAGCAGCTGAAGATCTTTTTAAATACCGGCTGCAGTGATTGAAAAGTACTCAACACTGTTCACTTGATTTGAAAAGAGCTTTGGAATAATTGCGACATCTTGTCCGGGACCACGTGAACGTGCGCTGCCACGATCACTCAGGCCAATGAGATCGCGAGTAAAGCCTCTTTCAGTGGAGGTTATAAATGGCCACTAATCAGGGATGAGCCCTCCGTGTTTATTGAGAGGGATCGCCAAAACATTGCCCTAATTAATTTCCTAGCAGAGGCTTGTCTGCGGTTGTTTTTAAACATCCTATAGTGCCTGCAACAGTAGGGGGCACTAATGGAAATTTACAAGAGCTTAAGGATTTTAAGAAGAGGTATGAACAGCGTTTGCTAATGCCAGACTAAGGAGGCTAATTCTTGTAGCTGAAGGGATATTTATACAAGGCCTACATTCTGTAGACAGTAATGTTTGTGGTTACCAGCTGTTTATCAGCCTGCTCACGGAGCCCTCTTGTGGTCGAGTAATTGTGTCACGCCACAATTTCAGTGGTTCTGATTAAACAAAGCTGCAGTAACATCTCCCTGCACGGGGTTTCTCTGTCAGACTGAGGCTGAAACCCACGTGCCTCTGTTTCTGCTAACAAATATTTAAAAATGATTTGACACTATTATTCATTATCATCATATTAAAATCTAGATGTCACTGATTTTAGCTGTGGGTTAGCCTCTGAGCCCAACCTGAAGGAACGATCCAGTGTTTCAAAAGAGTTTTAGCTTGTAGCTGTTAAAGACCGTTTTTTTCACTTAGTCCCACGTGCATCTGAAAATCTTAATTCAGACTTTTGAGGGACAGATGATTTTCAAAGTGTAGTTTGATGTGCTCATAAAGTGCTTGCAGATACACTGAGTTTGATGCAGCACTGTGTGATTTGCTCTCTGGTATCTTCTTAACAAGTCTGTACAGCAACATGCTGACAAACTGTTTGCTGGAGAATTTAACAACAGTTTACAGGAAGTTACATAAGAAAAGACCTTGAACTTTCTGACCCCTACTTTATAAAAATAAAACGAGTGACACTAATCCACTTACCTGGGGCAGCCACCATTATTCCTCGGTTATTAACCCACATATAAAAGCAGGAACAACAGCTAATCTGCTTCCACTCTTAAACCTCCTTAAAATATATTTTTCCAAAGCCAGGAGACTGGCTCTGCATCAGTCTGACGTTTCCCTTTGTCATATTAATAAAGTTACAGTAGCTTTATTGAATGCAGATATTCATTTGCGGTTTCCTGTGGTTGTGTAAATGTCATTTTGGGTCTTTTGTGTTTTGTTCCATTGTAAGAGCATGATTACATTTAGCAAAAATTCAGCGTCAGACTCGATATATCAACATTAGAAAAAACTCACACCTGCCTTGTGTATCCCACAGTGTCCACCTCCCAGTCAACTTTGTGTTTCATCCAGTTTTTTGATTACTGCTGGATTTACATTTAGATATTGATTATATTTTCAAAGAGATTAAGAGTTTGATTCCATTCATTTACTGAGAGATTTGAAAAAAGAAATATTTACTTAAAATCCAGACATCTAATTAAAAACAGCAAAGTATTATTAAATGGTTGTAAATAGACAGATAAGAATTGTACGTTGTGCTGCTCTTTGTGTATATTTACTTGCTTATTGTTGTTTACATGAACTTGCTATTTTAAGTTCCCTTGCTGCATGACAGCATCACTGACGTGGAGTGTGTGTGTGTGTGTGTTTTGCAGCTGTTGTCCAAGTCCATAGAGCAGTTACGTCAGCCCAATGCGCACCTGCAGGAGTCGGAGGAAGAGCTGGAGGAGCAGCAGCAGCATGGGGAGCAGATGGAGAGCATGCAGGAGGACAGGCTGCCCCCTGGAGGAGTCATCCGGAAGCACACGCTCAGCAGCAGCAGCAGCAGTGGCTCCAGTGGTGAGCTCCCAGACGCCCACTTTGGGGTCATCAGGGTCAAGGAGGAGCCGGTTGACAGCGAGGACGAGGCGCTGAGCGGCCCGAGCTTAGAGTCAGTGCAGAGCACCTATCTCCACCAGGTCAAAGGGAGACTGGTGATAAGAGCCATGATCTGAGAAGGGAAGAGGATGAGATCACACACTCACAACATTCGCAGACAAACAAGTCTCTACAAACGTGCATCGACATCTCAGACACACACACACACATACACACATACACACATACACACATACACACACACACAGCAGCCATTGCACAGTAGGCCAGCTCTCCCTGTCACGACCCCGTCTCACTCAGCTGCAGACTCACTCGTCCCACGCTCTCAGACTCTCCATTTGTGATCTTCGTGTAGTGATCTCTGTAAAATATGTACGTTTCACTTTTATGTGTATATAATATGAAAGAGAATTTAGACCGTTCTTTTTAAAGAGCTGCTTTGGTCATCAAGTGACGACCAGTTTCATGTACATATGCTGTGGATTTTAGCATCAAAGATGATTTCTAGAGGGAAGGTTGAACAGGTGTACAGCTTCGAAGAGCCAACTTATGTTCCCGTCTTGTACATTTTTGCCATAAAATATTTGAACGCTCTTCTATCCACTTCAGCGTCGAGAATTATCACAAAGTCCTGACGGCGTGTTTACGAGTTTGAAACACTACATGACCCGATGTTCCATGTTAAGTGGTCTCAGTACTGAAATAATGGAACATCTGCATTAGAGAGAATGTATACTTTAATCCTTTAAACAGAGGACGCTCCCTCATGGCAGACTTGGGAGCGATATTGCCATTGGAAATAAGGTCCGCTGCTCATATTGCAATTTGAAGGATAAAGCACTAAATCCTTGCCTGGGTGTGCAGGCATCTCCCAACACATCCCGAGTCTCCATGTCTCTCTCTCTCTCTCTCTCTCTTTGAGTAGAGCCAGGGCCCCGTGCGCTAAGCCGAGCTCTCCTCCCTCTCTCCCTCTGGGTCCAAATCAAAGCTTGAGCCGGGTTCCTGTCCGGCTTTCAGCAGAGGAGTCAGAGAGAAAGAGAGAATGAGAGAGAGAGAGAGAGGGCCGGGCAGGAAATGCCTTCTAGAAGCCAGGAGTTGGAGTGATTCATGTGTGCAGGAATGTTGAGAGAGGAGGACCTAGGGTTGGAGGAGTCCAAGGGGCCAGGCTCGAGAATTGATTTACTGTCAAGACGAATTACAAAGTGAGTGGGGATATGGTGAAGGGAGTCCTTTTTAAAGGGAATCGCTTCCTTCGTATTCCCTCGTGGCATGGTTACCTCAATATGCAGGTTTGATGTTACTTCAACAAAAAACAAAAAAACAACAAAAAAACCACCCTGGATGGGACCTTGCTTCTTCTTCTTTTTTTTTTCTTTTTTTTTTTTAAAAGCCTGTTTTCCCCCCTGAAAGTGCCCATTGCTACATGTATACTCTGTCTTAAAGTGATCAATCAAATGTATTGCATAGCTGTAAACCTTCCAGTTTCATTTGTACCGTCAACTAAATGTTAAAACAAAAGAAAACAAACAAAAAAAATGCTAGTATGAGGTTCTGTGTGTGGATCCATGTGAAAATCAAAACTGTTTGTCTTATACTGTACATTGGAGATTGTCCGGCCGTAATGTTTTTAGTGTAAGTAAACACAATCAGAACAATGTGAGTCTTGTTCTCTCGCTCCCTTTGATTCGGTCGTAACGAGAACCCCCTTCGCTGTCAGTGGGTGTGTGTGTGTGGGGGGGGGGGGATCCTGTCCATGTGGTCTGTTCATAGCGGTTTGCAGTTTTTCTTCTCTTGTTATTTTTTTGCCTTGTGTGATTAAAAATCTTTTTTTTTAAATAAAGTTAATTTACCTCTGACAGCGTCTCTTGCAGATTCGTCATTTATGTGTTTGCGTCTCATTTTACTGTCACAGCGTACGCAGCTTGCAGAAATAAACTTTCCATCCTGTAAATTCAAAAACGACACTCTCTGCTTATTTAGAAATTAACGTCTCGAGTGTACTGCCCAAATCATTAGCTCAGCTTGCCTTTCCCACACTGGGTCCTATAACCCGACTCTTCATATTTGAGGGGGGGGGGGGATCTGTGTAACCCTTTAAAGGGAGCTTAAGAGGCTTTCAAAACATTTCTTTGATGTGAGTGAGCGAAGGTTCCTCATGGCTGCATTAGAGAAGTCGAGATAAGGTGAGCTCGCGAGCGGGTGATATATGACTTATGTGGAGACTTAAAACCGAGCTTGAGCAATTTCACAGCAGGCTTAGGTCATGGGACTTGCGTGATATGCTTTACACGCAATGATGACACTGGAAAATTTCACTCGTGCTCTAATGTTGCTTTGTGCAAATACAACCACTATGAGAGCATCTTTAAATTAGAGGAAGCAGCCAAACTATGATAGGAGGCCGTCGTATGGAGTGTGAGGTGTACAGCTCTATAAACGTTATGGTGCAAAACCTATTCTATATCGTGTAATATATAAAACTTCACATTTATATGGACCTTGCAGAGGTGTCGTGTTCCTGCACATTAGGAGGTATTTCAGTTCAATTAGACACTGACTCTTTCTTAAGTAGACTCCATCTGTCTCGGGCTTCAGGCCCTTGTGATTTTAAATGAGCTGTTACAAAGGCAGAGAAAATAATGAAGCATGAATCCATCTGCACGGCCCCTCCCCAGCTGTGCACAGAACCAGTTGTAAAAGCAAACAAGCATTTTTTAAAGGTGTAAGGAAGTAAGGACGACATAAGCTCACTTATTTCCTCTAAATGGATTAGACCCTAAGTGAGGGAGGCCGAGTTTTTATCGCCCACAGTGCTGTAAAAATAGACGTTTGGATGCAGTGTGCACGTACTTGAATGAGAGATGGATGACGGCGATGATGACTTCGCAGAGTCTAAAATCTCAAAGCAGCAAGTCATTTCAAATGAAAACCACCGAGAAGTCAAATTCCTACATTCACACGTCGTGCCAAACATTAAACTAGTGTTTCAGTGTTCTGAAGTGAGAATAACTCGGTCTCAGTAAAATGTGTTTTTAACACTTTACGGCTGTCAATATTTAAAAACCCAGGGTTTATATATCTTCATGCCACATGAACTGCACCTAACAGCTTTAAACACATGCACCAGAGTTCATGTGTTTGGTCAACTTTCAACTTATTTAGTGCATTATTTCCTAAATACGTTTTATAGCTGAGAACCTAAGAAATAAAGTCCTTACAAATAAAATCCAACTCATTCAAAGTGAGTGAATTAAGTATTTACTCCACCACTTCTCTATTATTACCAAACATGGTGCCCTCATCTCACTGTAGCCTACACTTCTGATTTATAAACCAGAGATCCACAGTCAAAGCAGTCAAATGCCTTAACTCAACAGAAAAACCCCCAAACATTTATATGTTTTGTTGTGCACATGACAAACTTGAGTGAATAATAGTAATTGTAATAATAAACTTTATTTACATAGCACCTTTCAAAAGTTACAAGGTGCTTTACAAGATAAAAATAAAGTCAAACAAGAGGAAACAATTAAAAGTCACAGATACAAAAATACAAATTTTACATTTCCTCTTTTATTTTGAAACTCCTTTCCTTCTGTGTCTCTCTGCATTTACCTCCTGTCTTTGTCCTGTTTGATCGTCTGCACCTGTCGGTCCCAATGTGTTTCACCTGTCTTCAGTTATCCCTGCCTCCCTGGTGTATGTGTTTCCCTTTGTCTTTGTCCAGTCTTCTGTTCATGTTTCACCATCATCAGTCTACGCCTGGAGTTTTGGATTTGCAGTTTATCTACATGCCGTCCAGTAAGTTTATTTAATCAATCCTCGGTCTGTCTTCTGCATTTGGGTCCTGCAAACATTTAGTGCGCACCTCCTCTGAGGCCAAACAATCCTACACATGTTTGTCTAGTTCTGAAGAAAAAAGAAAGAGGTCGTAAAGCACAGTTAAAGAAGGAGAGAAAATTCCTGGATCCACGCCTTAATCCACATCTGCACTAAAATGTAATGGCTACTTCCCAGGTCCACAGTTCCTTCCATCAAGTTTGGTGGAAATCGGTTCAGTTGTTTTTGTGTCATCCTGCCAACAAACAAACCAACAGACGTGGGGAAAATAACTTTCTTGGTGAAGGTTGAAATGTAAAATTATGAATTATGTTCTTTGTGTTATGTTATTTTTATGTTGTTTCTTGTGACCTTTAAACTAGGATGTCTATTAGTGCGACAACATCATGGGACCATCAGTTTGTTTTGCTGTTGTGTAGCACTTTGTACTTTGTGTTGAAAACTGCTCTATAATAATAAGAGTTATTATTGTAATCACAGTTCAACTGATTATCACTCGTCAAATGTCACCAGAGCCTTGAAACTGAGTCACCAAACTACTGTGCTGCTACTCTCTGGCCTGCAGGTGATAAATTGCCAGCCTCCATGAGCCAAAGTCGGAGAGCAACAAACATGTCAGTGGTTTGATTCCCAGCACCTCCAGTTCTCTTGTTTAAGTGTTTTTGGGCAACAGCCACAAAGTCTTTGAGTGGTTGTTAAAACTAGAAAAGTAAATTTGATCTAGGTTAAGATTCTGTTCTGAAGCTCTGGGACGACGAGCAACAGTCGTCTACATCAAAACCAGAATCAGCTTTATTTTTAAGTGTTTGTACACATACAAAAGATGTGACTCTACATTTGCTACTCGAAATAGACTAAAAAACTGAACAAATAAGCTCAAGAATGATACAAAAATATTTGAAGTATGATTGTTTGGACTGTTCTGTACAATAACATGAAAAGAAAGTAGAATATGCAGTATAATGGAAACACTAATAAACAACACTATAGAAGTATACACCATGAGACTATGTACACAAGTCAATAGGTTATGTGTGTTGTAAACTGTACAAGTTGTACACAGAAGTACTGCAATGAAAAAGATAAATACTGTATTATTACGCAGACAGGGGAGGGACATGTAAAGATTTCTACATAGAAATGTGATATTGTTGTGTAATTTACAGTGTGCAGGATACATATTGACGAATGTGATGACTTCAGACATGCATGTGCGGCGTATGTTTAGCGTGAGAGGGTTATTGACACTGTCCGATTGATTTGAGGTGTTCGACAGAGTGACGGCCTGTGGGAAGAAACTGTTCTTGTGTCTGGTTGAGCTTTAGTTTCAAAAGCATTTTCCACAGAGAACAAGCTCCTCACTATCCTTCTTAAAACGTCCCACTGTGACACAGACTTGCACTTCCTGACCGTGTTTTAGCGGCGTCCTCGTCTTTAACAACGCACATCCAGGTAAGTATTTCAAGTTTACTCTGGAGAACAGTGATGTCTCCAGCTGCTTCTTTCTGACTCTGTAATGTTATGACAGGATGTTCAGGTCGTAAAAACCTGCAGGTTATCATCCCCTGACTAGTAGTAATATGTGCACAGTTTAGACTTGAGTTTTTCAAGAATAAAAACAGAACTAAAAGGAGAATTCTCAGAGCAGCAGATGAAACTCATGATAATGGAGTTAAATTGCTGAAGTGGAGGCATGAAGTCCACCTGGCAAAGCCAACGTTTCCCCAGTTAACACAGACCAGCTGTAGAAACTCAACTGTCTGTGGCTTCTAATCAATACATGTCAACTCATGTTACTCCTACAGGTCAATACATCCCCCTTTTGATTTGGCTGCCGCGGTTACCACACACACACCTTTATTGACAGTCTTGCTGAGCTGAAGTAAAGAAAAACCCTGTGATGATCTGTGTCTGAGTTCCAACTACTCCATAGACCCAACTACTCAGATCAAGTCATACAGTATGATTGATGATGAGGAAAACCCAAAGATGTTTTTGGATCCTAAGATGTATTTAAAACACCAGAAAATTTTCCCCATGACTGCACAGTTTCACTTCTGACAATAGCCCCATACTAATCCAATCCAAGATGTATCAAAGTCTGACTTTACTTGACTGGTGTGGTTCTTAGCACATCAAGAAATTCTTGTTTTGTTGTTTTTTCGTTCATTTTGTCGAAATGTGAAACCAAAGCAAAAACCTCACGATCACCTGTATTTGAGAATTGTTGACATGCATGTTTGTTTGCAGGATTATGCAAAAACAAATCTTCTTTTCAATTTACCAGCAGGGTGTGGGTCAAGTAAGAAGATGTATCTGATCAACAAATGTAAAAGCAATATTGTGATAAAGTGGCCTCAGCCTGGGCGGAGGTCTGTGCTCTCTGAGTACCCTAATGCTTTTTGGATGCTTTAAAGGTTCAGAGTGTAAGATAGAAAGGATGTATTGGCAGAAATTGAATATGAAATAATCCTAGTGATGTTTTTATCAATGTGTTTCATCTAAATTGTACAAATTGTTGTTTTCTTTTCACTAGAATGGACCTTTAAATTTAAAGTCTTTATATTTACATCAGGAGTGGGTCCTCTCTACGGAGCCCGCCATGTTTTTATGGCAACTGAAGGCTTCTACAGGTTCTCTTTCATGTTTGGAAGGGGAGGGTGAGGTGAGGGGTATTCAGCTACAACATGCAACTTCACCACTAGATGTCACTAAATTCTACACACTGAACCTTTAAGATTTACATGCAGAGGGCAAACAGGATTACATTTATTGGTGCACAAGGACATTTAAAGAACTGGTCTCCCCATTTTCTGGTACAGAAATTGAACAGATGAATAAACTTGGTTGGTTTCAGTAGTTTGCTCACCCGGTTCTTTAAAGCAGCTCTTTGTTTCCTTTTGTTGAAGGGACCCAGAGGGTTACATGTACTCATCTTCCTCATCATCCTCCTCTTCAGCCCCCAGCCAATTACAGTTGACACGCCTGTACCTGACAGGTAAGAATGAAAGCTCATACTCGTCACCTCATTTTAATCAACTGGGCAGATTTCTGCACCTCTTGTTTCCTCTGCACTGGAATTATGTTCCTGCCACAAAGCAATTCATTTGGGTTTTCATCATTTTCTTCTGTTTTAGTTGAACAAATTATATAATAGTATTTCCTTTGATAAGCTGCTTTTTATGATTCCATTTCATTTTTGTGTAGGACTCATGCTATTTCAATCTTTGCCCACCAAAGTTGAAGATAACAAGCGGCAAAAATAGCTCATAAAGTAAATTTTCCACCTTCTTCTCTGTGTGCATGTCAAGATTTGTATGAATCTGGCATTCGGCAGCACAACGTGGTGTTTTTCTTTCCATGTGCAGTTAACCATGCTCGAGGTGTAGGACAGTGCAGTGCTGCAGGCAGCAAATGGAGGAGACTGTTTTGTGTGTTGGTGTTGTTACTAAAGAACTGCAACCCAGAAGAAGAGAGGACAGATGTCAGATTCTTTGTGGCCTGTGTCGTCTGCGAAGCCAAGATTTCCTGCTTTGATGGCCTGTGTGCCTGTCATTAAACATTAAATCACATACTTTATGAGGAGAATGTGTCCAAAACTGCATTTCAAAAAATAAAGCTTGATTTGTCGAGTAAGCAGCTCAAAGATTTGCATATTTACAAATGGAATATGTATTATTTATCAAGAGCAGAGGAAGAGTTCGACATGTTTTCCTCTCATCTCGTGAGATAAAACCCTGATGACCCAACATAGATAGTGTTAATATTACCGTCAGTCCCTCGGGCTGGTGTCATCCATATTGTTATCTTAGCCTTTCAAGGATTGATATACCTCTTCAAGTTTAATGAGATAAGAGACCTGGGGGAGTTCTCCCCCTGCTGTGTTCAAAGACCATCCGTCCTGAGGAACTGCTTTATCTCAGCCACTGATTGACCCGGCTGATAGGTGATACTGAGGAACCACAGTGGCCTTGGGAAGTGGCCTCTCCACTGAGACGACGGGGACCGGCAAACTTGGCCTCTCCTGTCTGTGAGAGTCCCATCAGTGGGGCTCCTGCTTCCCTGGGATGCCGCCTCCTCCCTTTGATTCCTGCGACCAAGCACTTTTACGTGCCTTCCTCCCTCACACCGTCCAGTCCAGAGCCTATAAAGCAAGTCTGCCACTCTCCAGCTAGTTGGACAGAACGTGTTTGTAAGTGTTGCCTGAATGCACCGTGGGACAAAATGACACCCCGAGGGCTCGTAAGAGTTGTGATTTCTTCTCCGAGCCCGTGCCAAGAGACCATTTCAAGTTCCAGCTCAGTTCTTCTAAAACCTTGCCATTTGTGGCTTGCGACCATGAACCACTAGGGTTTTTATTATAATCTATATGGCATGGCAAATGCTATGTATTAACTAGAGACATACTCATAAGGGAAATGCTGGAAGCCAATAATAATGGCCTGAATGAAACACCAGATAATAAGCTCACTCCTGAAAGGAAAATTGTTCTTGAAGAAATATTCAGTCTACCTCAAACCACTAAGTAACAAGTATATAATCCTTCAAACAAATAATCATTCAACAAATATACATTCAACACCTGACAAGTCTCTCATTCCACGGTCCGTTTCTATATGTTAACATATCGCAGGAGATTTAAGACGCAAGATACCACGACATGAGGAATGCAGCCTGAGAGAGCATCCCCTCAGGAAAATAGTTTTTAAGGAGGGTTTAAGGACTCTCTCATTATCACTATATATTGGGAGAATAAAACAAGGGCCCCTGAAAAGGTCCCCAAGGCATGTGCCTGCAAGGGAGTCGATTGTCCTTCACACTGCACACTATATCAGCGGCTAATCCCTGAGGGAAACATCTGCGTGTGCACACATGAGGCACGTGTTGGTGCAACTGAGTAGCAGGTCGGAGACAGTGAGAAAAGCAAAGCTCCAAGCTCCATTAATGCTGCTGCTGCCATGTTTGCTCATCTGTGCAATTTCCAAATAACGTCATCACTCAAATACACTGAAAAGTTGAAAAGAGAAGAGGATGATGTCTGATGTCTGGTTTGGGCTGTCCCATGTTGAGTTTACTGCCAAAACTTGAAATTAATACTGGACGACATATTTTGTTCAAGACGTTGATTTGAATTATGTTTTTGAAATAACCAAAAACAAAAGACCCAGTTTTGACTTTGTGGAGCAGATGGAATCATGGGAGCTGTGATCTTCATCACCACTGCCATTAAAAATCTATCTGACTTGATTCAGATGCAAATCATGTAGTAAACTTTTTTTTGCATTACATAGAGGATGGCAATGAGTAATCGTGATCTGTTACAAGTCACCAATACAAGAGGTAGAAGGAAAAATCAGCAGACAAGCCAACTGGATAACTGTGCTATAACTAACGTGGGAAATGATGAAGGAAAAACTGAGACAGGAAAAGCCACGGGGTAAAGCAAATCTTGTGATGTGAATTTCTTGTACATTGTTGGAAACTTTTTGGATAATGTAAGTAAGCTAGACAAGTCAGCAAAATATGTGATACAGGTCAATTTGTGTTCAGACATTTTAATTGAGAAATCAAAACAAATTAGTTTTATGTTATCAGTAATTTTGTAAAAGTGTTAATCTGACAAACTGTTAATTCACTTGTTCTCCATACTTCAACCAAATCTCACGAAGGCCACAAGAAGTGGTTGAAAGCTGAAGAAAACATGAAAGTTAAACCTTTTCTTTAGTCAAATGAAGTCTTTCAATATTAATTAACAGTATATGAGCTCATGTAATGTTAAACGTCAAATGAGGGACCGGTCTGATGAATGGAGTTCATTACAGGCCTGTTTTTCGAGGAGTGAAATCAAGGCGGCCGCGTGTGTTTAAATTATGCCTCAGTTTAGTAAAAGCTGTTTATCTTCGCTGTGTGAAACCGCTGTGGTGTCCTGAGGGAGCGCGTTTGAAGAAAACCTTTCTCTACGATATATGAAAAGTTTTAGCAGTCGGCGCGGCTCTCTATATTTCCCCTGGAGAGTCACTGTTTAATTCACATCATTCATAATGAACTACACAATTTCATGTTGTGGGCGAAGGCCAGACTGTGAAACAGCACTTTGACAGATCTGTGGTGCTACATCACAGTTTTAACAGAACAGCACTGTAGGCCCGCAGTAGACTGAACATAACGCACCACTAATGAATGTAAGAATGTGTTACCCGACCAGACGGGAATGTGTGCCCACGCCGGGTCGCGATAGAACGTTTTCTTTTTGACAACGTGGGAAATCACCGTCCACACGAGGGGATCATGTGATTTAAATACATAGGATGCCGCAAATTGTGGTACACTGCGGTTTAATGGCAGCTCCCCTTGCATTTTGAAGTTCAGCTGGCACTGCCACCTCATATGGCCTGGTGTTAATCTGCCATGAACAAGCCTGCATTATGCCAAGACCGTAGTAGAAGTGAGTGGGAAACAGGTGGCCTCCACTTTCTCTCATTCCTGCTCTGGCTTCTGGACACAGAGTTGGACAAGCTTACATTCTTCAGGGGAATTTCCTCCCAAGCCACTTTATTAGCAAAGTGAAAATAAACCTCAAATATTACTCAAGAGTTTACATGTATTATGTGCTTTTGTGCCACGCAGAGTTCTCAGTTTAAGTCTGCTATTTTGGGAATTAAGTTTATTTGCTTTCTAATGCAGAGTTAGGAGAGGAAATCAATACCGATCCCACGTCTGTATGTTCAGCGAGAATCTAACATTGGCTGTTTAGCTTAGCTTAGCACAAAGACAGGAAACAGCATCACTTCAGTTCATTCATTAACATGTCACAGCTTATTTGTTCAGCCTGCTGGGGTTGAGGTGCTGGGGGGTGGATTTTACCTTTGGAGAGAGGGTGGAGAGCAGCTTCCCTCTTCTCTATGTACTGTGAGGATGATATTAATATTTTTATATAAGTTGAAAACTCCTGACTTGGTTAGTTGTATTTGAAGTAAGTGTTATTAACAGTTTTATTTTGGAATCATGTAAAATCTATTGCTTTAAAAAACATTTCTAGCGTCAGTCACGGTCATAGACGGTTTCTTAAGATGGTCCACATGAGGGATCAGCTGAAGTGAAGCCATAACATCTCAATCGCCCCCTGGTGGCTGGGTGCAGTGCAGGCTCCAGCCTCCTCCATGTTAGTGGATGAGACGTGGAACATTTATTCAAAGTACACGTCCAATACATTTGGTTTTTGTCATTTTAGCTCTTATCATACTGTATCTTCAAGTTTTAGTTATTTGAATGGGGTGAAATGTCACGATTAACAGAGACTGACTCACGATTGGTCAAGCACGTTCATCAGCAGGACCTCACTACCCGATCACTTCCATACAGACTCAGGCTCCAAATGTCCAAGATGGCAGCGTTCATATCTGGGATGTTTTGGCTTTATTTCTGGATAGTGGATAGAGTTTAGTTGTGTAGCACAGATAACCACATACGACACAGTTTAAATATGCTGTTTATTGTGGATTGAGTTGCACAACTCTTTGAGAGATTAACCCTTGATTGCAGAGTCAGTCATCTCAGCACATCTTTGACAGCTCCATAAATAAAACTCCTGTCGTTAATACCTGACGTTGAAAGACAACATAAATATCGCTGTATATAAATGCCTCCATAAAGATGGAAGAATGTCCACATCATATCTTCAAAAGACCTCGTCCACTGTTATCACTTATATCTTGGCTGCAGCACAGAGTGTGATTCCATGGATTTGGAGAAATTCGGAACAGATTGTCCGTGAGGCTCCCTCTGGCACGGGAAGATGGGTAACACATCATGACCGCCTTGGACTGTTTTCTCTATAAAGTGGTAAAAAATCAGAAAGCTTATTTACCTTGTGACATGAGAGATTCTCAGTGTGTGTGTTTTAAGAAGCGATACAGGTGTTAAACTAACTAAAACAGGACATTTCGCTTCTGTATTACGTGGCGCCTTCTTTGAGTCACAAGTTTAGGTCAAGGCTTATTTGATGGGTCGCCACATGAGGAAAATCTTCACATCAGAAACATCAAAAAACATGTGATTAGTGACAGTGAGCAGGTCTGGAGTGGTTATTGTCACAAACGGCATTATTTTAGCTGTGGTAGCGTGTGTTGAAACCCAGGTTCTTTACACTAATGGACACAGTCAGGTGTCAGTCAACGATACGCAGACAGAGGGGGGGAGTCGTGGCAGCTCCACTCCTCTGGTGCTGCACTTGGACGGAGATGAGAGGCTGCGGGGAGAGAGAGAGAGATGGAGGTCTGCTTTCCATAAAGTTCTGGTGTCCTGTGAGGCAGCTCCACGTCATAATCATAAATCGCAGGGATGGAAATTGGGGGTTCGTCATATCCCAACATAACAGCGAAATTTCAAAATCAAAAGATGGACTGGCAGCTCTCGTGACAGTTTAATATCAAAGGAAAAAATGTTGAAATTTCCCAAGGTTTCTGTTAGGTTTCATTTGAAGTTTTGCAACAACAGAAGGCGGCTAAGGAGTGTTTGGAGTTCACAGCAGGTTCACTTTGCTAAAACCATTTTCTCCTGATGATGGACTACTATTTCAGCTCATGTTCTTTTTTGCTCTTTTCCCGCAGAACTAATGGATGTTAAAAAAAAA